CTGTTAGAAAATGTGACAAAAGTGAAACTCCTCTTCCCACCGGTCTTCCACTTCACCTATCTTCCGCTGAACCTTCTCCATCCTTCTCTATTTTTATTGGCATATGAACTGTGTCTCAAACAGGAGACTTGGTGGAGGAAGAGGTATTACTGGAGCAGCTAGGTCACCTCGTTCTGCCAAACCTGTTTCCTCCATAGTGACTGATCTCCTTACAGCACTTCCTTGTCATCCAAAGAGGAATTTTTGAGTTAAAAGTAGTAGGTGTTGAGTAAATGTTTGTTACTGAGCCTCATTTAACTGACACTGATGTTGAAAGGGGCTATGGAGAGAAGTCTGGGTGTAGCAGTAGCTGGGAATAGTGGAGACACATTTTGGAAAATTAGAGCCCACTACATACGGTGTGTAAAATTAAATCTGCTTAGTGACTTCCTTTCCTAGTCACTAACATTTTATTCATTGATGGTTTCCTGAACTGTGTTCAAAGTTAAGGATGTGAATCTCAAATGGTTTCTCATTTAATTCTGGTTATATGACCAAATTACAGTGACTTCCATTATCATCATTTTCTAAATGAGTTTCTATGGGAATAATTTTTCACTCAAACATAAGTAATGTTTTATGTGGACTATTTTAGCCATAATAATAATAATAATAATAATAAAAATCCACAGACTTTTTATGAGCTCTAAATAAGGTAACTTAGGAAGCTCTGGTAGTGTAGTGTGTAAGGCACTTGACTGCTAACCAGAAGGCTGGCGGTTCAAGCCCACCAGCCACTCCTCGGAAGGATGGGCAATTCTTCTGTAGTGGTAACCACCTTGGAAACCCAAGGAGGGGTTGCTATGAGTTGGGTCTGACTCAAGGGCACATAACAACAAATAAGCTAACTTATTAACAGATTTAGTTCCTTTAAAAAAGTCCTTCATGTAGATGCCAACTGGGAATCAAACAATTAGTTAGAAAAGAAACTTAGAAAAGTTATTTCAGTGTTTTGCTTGATGACGAAGTCAATGGTTACAGAATGGATAAAACAGATGTAAGTGCCCACATAGTGCTGAATGCTTTACATGCATTACCTAATTTAATGTAGATATCCAGCCTCCTGTTCTAGGACACTGTGCTACATCTAAATTCTAAGTTACTCGAGTTAACATTAGGACCTCTGATTAATTTTGCAATTTTTAAAGAACAGAAGGAACTTGCCATCAGCTGAATCTTCAGAAGTATTTATATTTTATTTATTTTATCAATACACAATTAATAAGCAGTTATGCATGTAGGAAGCCTTGGGAAAATGTGCAGAAGTATAAGGCATAATTCTTTCCACCGTGGAGTTTCCTTTCCATTAAGGTCCCTAAGGCATTTGACTGCTAACCAGAAGGCTGGCAGTTCAAACTCACCAGCCACTTCTTGGAAGGAAGACCGGGCAGTCTACTTCTGTAGAGATGTTGTTGTTGTTGTTATGTGCCCTCGAGTCAGACCCGACTCATAGCGACCCCTCCTTGGGTTTCCGAGGCAGTGTCACTACAGAAATAGATTGCCCCATCTTCCTTCCGAGGAGTGGCTGGTGGGTTTGAACCACCAGCCTTCTGGTTAGCAGTCAAGTGCCTTAGACACTATGCTACCAGAGCTCCTTTAAACAATTATAATTATTATTTCAGATTTGTATAATGATTTTCTTCTGAGCTATCTAAAATAAATGACCAGT